CCTCATGGCCACCTGCCAGCTAATCCAGCCAAGGAGAGGTTACTGTTTCGAGTGTCAAATGATCTCACTGCAGCTTTCAACCTAGGTCTGTGTACACTGAGGGCCTGGATTTGTTAAGATGCACGCTGCTCCTCCAAGAGGGGAGAGGAAAGAGACAGATATAGCCACTGTGCCACAAAGAGGCAAACAAACTCTGGCCATCAATGGCTCTGATGTAAGTTCCACAGGAGAGAACCCAAGTATCACTGGAGTCCACCCTCCATCCCTCCTCGGGCTGGCATCTCAGCCATGCCCAGAAGGATGGGTAGAAGTCACCTGCACAGAAAGAAAATGAACACATTCCAACATTAATCACGAAAACATGATTTCCTGGACTTAAGAGTTAAATAAAATCACTAAAGGAAGCCCTTGGACAGATGTCTGCTTTGCTTTCATAATAATTTAAGCCCCTTTTCCTTACACACACAGAGACGCACACCTGCATGGTAAATATATAAAAATCTGTCAAAATTATTTCTGTAGTCCTATGAGATACAAGGACTTAACTAGTAACTCTGGGGATATAATCCACGCTGTGACAGAAAAGAAGGGCATGGAAGACCTCTGCAGAGTCATCAGACCTTTCCAGACCTTGTCCAGCAGAGGTGGCAGCAAAGTGTCTGCTCCCAAGGAAAAGCCAGGTGTCTACGCCACCATGAGGGATGCGAGAGACAAAGAAAGCAAGTGGAGAAATTCCTCTAACATTTCACAAGTGCATTCCTGCACCGTTCTCTGCTCTTTGTTTTTTACTTTTGAAAGCCCACATTCTCAGTTCTGTTTGCCTTCAGTGCCCTGAGATGCTTCTTTCATGTTCACAGCACAACTTGCTTAAAATCCACAAAGCACAGGTGTGCACAGAAGGTCACAGCACACCCGAGGGCAAGTGAACTCCAAGGCACCCTCCGAAAAACAACTGCACCACTGCTGAGGAACCTTCAGTGACAGCCCAACCAAAATGTGGCTGGGTAATCTCCTTTCTGAATTTTACAGTAACAATTTCTTTAAAAAGAAAATCAAATAAAAGAAGTTAGTGTTTCCTTTGGGCTGTCATTTCAAAAACTGTGAGAGCTTTGAAAAAATACAGTATTTCTATGGCTTTCACATAAAAATAATAAAGCAAGGATTCAAATGCTGTCAGAGGACAAAGGTGAGAAGCTATTTAGTTTTCTGGCTTATTTTCCCAACCAGAGACCTTAAGATAACACCTAAAATGTTCAATTTTCAGAGAAAAACAAAAAAACAAAAGCAAGAGAGAAACAGTAAATAAGAATTTACAGTGTTCCAGAGGCAAGGAAAGATAAGAATCTTGTCTTCCTCCTTTCATCTCAGGAATTTAAAATCAATGCCAGTAATGTTCAAGAATTCCATTTTAAGGCATATCTACTGCTTCAGAAATACTTTCATATTTACAAAACAGATGTTTTCTTCTCAGAACAAAACCCGTTTTCACTGGGAAAGATGAACACATCTCATACAGGGAGAAGAGCAGTGGGTACAGATGTCCTGAAGTGGACCAGCGTTTACAATAGGTTTCGAGTGTCAAATGATCCCACTGCAGGCATTTATAGGGAGCAAGAGAGGGCTGGTTAGAGATGTGCGGGACTTTTTAGTGAGACAAAGATTTACTTGCTGTCTCCCCTATGGGTAAAGCAATGAAACTCTTTTTACATTTGTTATAATTTTGAAAAGGAACATCGTGGAACTGATCTTTGATAACTAGAAAGGAAACCTCAAATACCCTGATGATCTTTCCCTTCTCAAACGCTGATTTCCCTCTCTTCGAAGAGGCAGTAGGAAGATAGCAGCATTGAGAAGCAGAGACGTGCAAGGATGGGAGGAGAGGAGACGATGAAATGAGTCAGCGAGCCAGGGAGGCTGGGCTGGGGACACATTACCAGGGACCTGGCTTTTCCCAGTGCAGCCCATTCTGCTGGGGGGGAGGGCTCCCCAGGGAGCAGGAGCCTGGGGACCAGCCCTGGGAACACCAGAGAACCCCTAGGGTGACTCTGGGTTTAGGTCATCTGGAGACATACGATAGGAATTCACTGGGCACCTAAAATAATTCTGGAGTAAAAAATGACTCTCGTAATAGCGGAAAAAAGACAATTAATTAACTAAAGAAAGAGTAGGACTGACTCCTGAAAGTTAGCGCTCAGAAACCTCCCGAATATGAAGAAAAGAGCAATAGAAGGGAGCTACTCCTGGAGTCCCTCAGTGAGGATGGACGCCTTGCGGAGAATCAGGTGTCCTCAGCCCTCATGTTGGGAGAACCTTTAAAAATGCAACACAAACATCAGAATTCTAGATTACTTGCAGAATATTTCTTTTATGGAGAAATATATATATATATATATATATATATAGTGTTTTCCCCCTTGCAGCACATTAACTTTTTCTGTCACTGTACTTGTTCATTCTTACGTCTTTCTGCGGGACAAACTGTCTGTGAGACAGATACTAAGTCCTAGGTACAGGCGAATCCAAGGGAGTGTGGGGGGAGGAAATGCGTGGGGGAGTAGCGCACCACGGCTGGGGCGCTGCTGTCCTACAAGTCAACGCCGGCCCTGTAGCCCCTGCTAGGGGGGCTCTTTCCACCCACTGCTGGTTTGCAGTGTTAATTCACTGCATCTTTTGGAAACTTATCACCTCAAAGATTTGAAACAGAATAGAACTATAACTTTTTTCCTATAATATTTTTTTACTTTTGAAAGTCACTGTTATGATTTTTTTGTTGACAGAGATCGTGTGGCTCAACTATTTTTCCTGTGCCAATATTCTTGTGCACCCATTTTGTTACAGTGGTTTTATGATAAGCTCTAATACCTACTACACAATGGCCTTACTAATTTACACATCTGATAATTTTTATTTATGATCACCATTATTCTTCTACATAAAGTTTAAAGTCATTTAGGGAATTAAACCCCTTAAAATTCTCATTATAATTAATTAAATGCATAGCACTTTACCAAGGGCTGACACGTTCATGACAGTGAATCTTCTCACTCAAGGGAGTGTGCTTTATTCTTTATTGAGGATTTTTAAGACACTTTAAAAATTCTTTTTTTAAAACGTTATAATTTCCCCATGTAGCTCCTGCCTGAACCTGGTTTCTTCACAAAAGAGAAATAGCAGTCAAGTGAACAGGAAGGAGACGTGTAAGATGTGAACAAAGGCTGTGAACACAGACTGCGGAAAAGGGGAAGACGAGCTTGGACACCAAGATGGCACCGGGGGCTTGGGGACCCCAGCAGGGGCCTGGCAGCCACACCCCCTACCCAGCCACCAGCTTCTTCCAAACAATGAGGTCATTTCTGAGCTTCTAGCTCCCATTCTTGTAACTTCCCCTGGCATCCAAAGGATCCAGGAAGAAACTTTAACATCAGAGACACACATTCCTATGAAGCATCCTCAGCAATAGCCCCATGGAAGCAGACTCTGCTGGCTGAGTCTGAAAGAGGCAATGATAAGATCGGCTGGGGACAACCACAAGGATGAGAAAGGATGTAGCCTAGCTCAGCACAGTTTATTACAGCACCACAGATAAGGACAGCAATGGGCCAGCATCCCCACCCTGCCCATCCACAGGTGCACAAGCAATATCCCAGTCCCACTGTGTCCTTCGAAGAGAAGTCCAGACCACTATGCCAATAACCATGTGAGAGTCTCCTCTAAGAAAAGGATGTCTTGTACTATTCACCAGTGTTACTCTCTGTATTCACTGAGATTTTCAATTTCCCTATTGACTAAATGATAAAGTGGAGCCTGCTTCTCAATTCTGATGCTGTTTTCAAGGAATAAAGGACACAGTTGAATTTATACTAAATAAAGAGAGAAGATATTGCCTGACTGGGCCGACAGTAGATACAAACGACCTGCAGCCCTCATAGAACAGATAGCTGTCAATTGCCTCATAACTTGGCACATACAGTTTTTTCCATGAAAAACAAATCACATATTATGTTTACAGCCACACATATGGTTTGACAGATGACGACTTTCTAAAACACTTTCTTCAACACACAGGTCAGGAAGCTGAGCGCTCTCTATTCAGGCTCATTTCCAATTATTCAACAGATGATGATTCTGAACTGGGAAGTTCCACACAACAATCCCAGCCCACAGTTCCTAAATCCCCTAGTCTCCAACAACTACAAGAGTTTGTTTCTCATAACCCTTTGGAAACGATCTTTCCCTGACTTTCACATGCCTCTGCTGCTGCTGTGTAATATATGCACCACATGGTTTTAATTTAGGAAAACCCTGAATTCCAGACCTGTGTCTTGCACACTGACTGAGGCAAGGGGCCAGGATACTGGAGGGAACTTAAGCAAGTCACAGTCTCTCCTGTTCCTACTTCCTCATTTAGAGAAAAAGGATATAGGACCAGAGGGCCTCTCAAAAATACAACTGTAGTTAAATTCTAGGATTCTAGGTTTATATACTGAAACACACAACAAATTATATGCTACTTTGAATTATGTTGAATTTCTATGAAAGTATAGGTATTTACCTTTGGCGTTATGTTGGCCAACTTTCTGTTACTGTAACAAAGTATCTGAGATAATTAACTTATAAAGTATAAATAAACACATTTATTTGGACTCGTAACCCTGGTTCTAGCCCAAGACCGGGTAGATCCACTGCCTTCACACTCTGGGGGTGCACAGAGGACAGTGATGGAACCTGTGGGAGCATAGACTGCTCACCATGGTGCAGGAGGCAGAAGTGGAAGAGGAAGAGGCGAAGTCCCACCAGCCCTTCTAGCCACTGGCTCTCAGGGACCAAGGATCTCCCTCTAGGTCACCATTAAAGGCTCTACCACCTCTAAACAGTGCCACCTTGTGGACAGAGACAATAAAACAAGAGCCCTGAGGAACGCTCAGGATCCAAACAGCACTCAAATCATGTGGAAGGAGCATGGATTCCAGTTGCTCTAAAGTAATTCAGGGGTTCAGTACCTGCTCTACCCAGCACAGAGGAGATGGCTTCCATGATGGTCTTGTAAATGTCAGCATGGGACAGGATGAACACAAGGGTCCAAACGGTAATCTTAAAAAGAAAAACGAATGTCAAAATCACAAATGTCTTTGAAGGGAATCAAAAGCAAATTTGGTATTAGCCATAAATATATGAGAATGAAGGGCAATGTTTAACCTTATATAAGAGAATCAGGAGTATCTCTGAAGACAACAAGATTTTATGAGTAAGAAATGTTCTATATCCCTAAGAGGCCAGATTTATAATTTCATTGTTACTATAATTATATTGTTTATATAGGTTAAACTATGCAAAATAGGAAGAGAAGTTTTTTAAAAACAAGCAACAGAACACTTTATAAATATATATTGAATATTCAGAAACAGCCGGGGATTTAACTCAGTGGTTCTGCCACCTGCCTCGCAAGTGCAAAGACCTAAGTTTGACCCCTGGTACAAAAAAAAAAAAATTCAAAAACAACAAATTCTGACATTTAAGAATACAAATCTCAGCCAGGTGTGGTGGTGCACACCTGTAATCCCAGCACTCTGGGAGGCTGAGGCAGAAAGACGGCAAGTTCAAGCCCAGCCTGGGCAATTTAGCCAGACTTTAACTTAAAAATTTTTTAAAAGGAGAGGGTTTGAAACTAGAAATGTATCTCAATGCAAAGGTGCTGGATTCAATGCCCAGTGTGGCCCTTTTAAAAAAACGTTAGTCTAAAACAAAAACATTTTTAAAGATTTAATTTCTTTAAAATACAAATGAACCAGTAACTGTTACTTCCTGCAAGTGAAACATAGTTATTTTAAATGAGCCTGGTACACTATACTTAAAACCCTACAGGGTGAATTGGGAGAGAGCCCTCATGGGGTCACTCATGTAGAATGCTGCGGCGCTGGGCAAATCTGCAGGTTCTCTCCCCTGCCCTGTCCACATGGCCTCACCTCTCTCCTCGATAAAAGTATGAAAGACAACATCATGCTGCTCTACATCGTAAACGTTAGCTTCCTAATGGGGGGACATTTTTGCTTCAAGAGTTCGCGATAAGGGAAACCCGTATGAAACCACTGGAAGAAGCTAAGGGAAAGTTTCCCTTTCATGTTTTTCTATAAACATTTATTACAAAGTCAACCTGAAATGACTCAGGCAATGTCCTGTGTCACTGAAGTCTTCTGGCTTCCATCTGTCCATCTGGTGAATGACACTCTAGTCGACACCTTGACATAATGCCAACACTCATCTCCGTGGTGGAAAGAGGAAGAGCAGCTGTCCAAAGGAGAGCACGCCGGGGACATTAAGTGGAAAGGGTGAGGACTCGCACAGTCCTGTTTACACAAACAAGATGCACAGGAGAGCCAGGCTCCATCTCTCAGAAGAGAGTCACTTTGCGTTAGTTATCTGGTCCATCTGCACAGGTGAAGGGGCAGGGCTTCAGGGGGCTCTCTTCCCTGACCCCTCACGCCACCCTTTCTCCTCAGGGCCAAATTACTGGATTTAACTAAGAACAACCCCGCACTTGACTCATATCATTTGAAGTCAGCCTTCGTGGGGTGGGGGAACCCTAGTGACAACACAAAGACTTTCAACTGGATCCCACGCCAGAGCTGGGCACAAAGGTGGAGGGCCACGTGGTCCCAGGGCTGCAGAAGCACACAGGAGGGGAGGGACAAGAAGAAAAACTCTGCTCCCTGCTGGGTCAGGAAAAGCAGACTGAGTATGGCCTCAGTGCCTTCCCCTCACACACCCAGAAACAGGTGTAACCATTATCCATGGTGCCTCTGAGACAGGCCAGACAGTCTGCACCCATCATGGTCAAGTCAAATGTGGAAGAGGCAACTTCTGCCCCCAAGTGGAGAATGCTCCAGAGTTCAGGTACTTAGAGAGAACCTGGGAGAGGAAGCAGATCCAGGGTAAAAGGCCAGCGTTGGGCCTGGCTGGAGAAATGTCCTAAGGAGCTCATTCCAGGAGTAGTCTTATCACAGAAATCACTTCCTAAGTGATGACTGCTGTCATGGGACAGTCCGCCAAAGCACCCCAAGGCCATGGGGACCTTTGGGGACAGTACTCAGCCCATGGGAAACCTTGGCTCTGAACCCCAAGGGCCTGAGGCAGAGGACAAAGGAGGAGAACGAAGTAGAGATGTCACCCAGACCCCATCGAGGCCACACTGTGCCTTCAGCAGGGCTTCAGCAGCTCCCTCGGCAGTGATCACAAAAGCCAGGACGGAGGCACCAAGAATGTGGAGGCCAGGGCAGTCTTGATTCACCATCCATGGGTGCTAAAAGCCATCCTTGCCTGAACCAGGGCGATGAGTGTGGTGAGGGAGGAAGAACACACACGGAGCATCAGCGCAGCCCTCAGAAGCATGTGGCATCAATCAGATGGACACTGAGGCACAGGAGGGTCATACAACTGGCTCACTGCTGCCCAGCACTGGGAAGTGGCTTTGTACCTGGCTCGAAAGCCTCTGCGAGGTCCCTGCTCAGGCCAGGCTGCCTCTTGAAGAGCCAGCGAGACAGACCTGCGCTCATCATTAGACACTTCCTCTCTGAAATGAAGGATTTCAGTCTTTTCAGCCTGGTGCCAGGAACAAAGTCAAAGCACCGACTTCCTCTGAGTCAGATCAGTGGGGCTTTATGCGGTATGTCCCCACCGGAGAACCTTCCCGATGAAACCTTGAAAATTAATTTCCGACAGGAGTAACTGTTTTGCTGCTGCTCTAGGAGTTGTTTTGAAGTTTGCTTTGTAGTTTTGCCATAGCTTACTCAGTTTCCAAGAAAATTACTGAAGGAAAGAAAGATCAGAGGACCACATTGGAGGAACATGAGAGCAGGGGAAGGGATTAGACTATCTGTTCTTGTCCACCCCAGTGAAATTTATCGTCTCATGGGTGACACAGGCTGGAGCAGAGAGGCCAAAATTTCTACTCGGCTCTTTTCCCAATAAATTTTACAATAGGTTACAGGAAGCTAAGGTATTAGGCTTTCAGAAAGGGGAATGAGAAATAAATAATTCTAAAAACATTTCCCTTATTTCTGTTAGAAGAAAAAGGGAAAAAATGGCCACACATCACAGAGATAGATCGAATGTTCTTGTTTAGTAAATAACAAATATATTAAAAGGGCTGTCCTTTCATTTCTCCTGACACAGGGAGCAGCTGAGGCTAACGTGAGAGCCTTGTGACCCAGGAAACGGGTACAGATGGACCAGAAGAGGCAATACATCTTGTGGTCTAACTTAGCTCAGGGCAGCTCTAAAGATAGTGTTAGCCAGGCTTGGTGGTACATGCCTGTGATTTCAGCACTCTGGAAGGCTGAAGCAGGAGGGTTATAAGTTTGAGCCTAGGCTTGGCAATTTAGCCAGACCTTGTCTTTAAAAAAAAAAAAAAAAAAAGTTGATGGTGTGGTTCCGTATGAAAGCTCCAGTACTGGATAAAGAAAGGGGAGTAGGAAGAGAAGAGGGGAGAGGAAGAGAGGAAAAGAAAAGAGTTTGTTAAAAGCCTCTGTTGTCTTTAGGTATATGGCAAGTTCCAGCATCATCAGGCCCTCTCTGGAGAAGACAGGACCGAGAGGCTTGGTGATGCCAATGGTGTGCAAACAGGCAGAGAATGACTCCCAGTCCCTGGGGACCTGCTGGGCTCATCCACAGAACCCTCTGGACTTTGCAGATCAATGGAACCATGTAGATGACTGGATCCCAGGTCTGATGCCTACAGTGGCAGTTTTGGGTCTGTTCTCCTTGTTCCCAATTAGGTCGGAGAACTTAAATTGCCACCGTGACACTCCCTGGCCCTAGCTGGGCTGTTGGGCTCTAAGCTCCTTTCCATCTGAAAGTGTCCATTCCCCTACCTCTTCACTGACCAGAGGTGGGGGCCGGGCCTTATCGATCAGCAGCACCAACACTGAGCACTCTGCCTGCTCAGGAAAGGCTCCCTCAGCAGGACACAGCCAGCCGGTGCTCAGGACCAGCTTCTCCCTTGTCTGGCACTGCCCCGCAGAGCTGGCACTTTCTGGCTCCTGTGTGAACCAGGCAGAATCCAGTGGACATTCGGCTTTGCTTTTTATCACACAACTGAATTAACAGAGTGTTTCCCTTTCTCCATAATAAGGGGCAGGGGAGAGAAATGAAGAAAACACAAGGGAGCACAGCAGACACAGATGCACTCTACGTGACTGTACTTACAGGAACAACATTAGACAAGGAGGCCCACAGGAACAGGAGGGTGTAGTTCGCACTGTGCCCTTCTGCCATCCCCTCTACCACCTCCAGCACAGCCTGAATAAATGTCTGTTTAAAAGAAATAAAAATGGTTGAACTGTGGCTTTAGGTCAAAGATTGATACCAGCATGAGATTGTGAATCTTCCTTTCATCCCAGAGGAGAGCACAGGGTGCTGCAGACCTCAGCAGAAGATGCTCAGACCTGGAAAACCACCGCCCGCCTATAACAAATGACCACATGTGAGGGGGTCCACACCAATGGTGTCTGATCAAACTCCTTTGTCAGCAAACACTTACTCTTAACTGTCACACTTTATTACCGTCTTCACACATACTTTTAACAGATGAAGCTAAGGAACGCTTACTGCAGAGTTATCCTTTTCAGGTTTGTATGCTTTTATATCTGAAATGCTTTCTTCCAACAGTGCCAGGAGCCACCTTTTGGATTTTGACCAGTTTCTGTGAGAGAAAAGAAGAGCCTGTTAGGAACGGGCATCAAAGGGGGAATGTATGGACTTAGAATTCTTTCCCAACAACTTGTCTTCATTTTCAGGCAGAATTTTCTAGAGGTCCCCCTTCAGAACTCGGCCCAGAGGGACAGTTAAGGGGTCAAGGCCACCACATTCGAGTGTCTTTGTGAATCAATTTTGGATTCCTAGTGGAAAGGCACTGAGTAAGAACACAGATGACCACTGACTGGCTCGAATTCCTTTTGCCATGGCTGCTGTCAGCTGATGTTAGGCTGGAAACCTGGCACAGGCACCAGCTGCTGGATGAAGCCAGCCAAAGTGGCTCCCAGCTTCCAATCCTCCCGGAGTAGTGGTCACTGTCAACTACAAGCTGAAGTCTTTTTCTTCTCTTTTTGGTACTGGGGATTGAATTTGGGTCCTTGTGCTTACAAAGCAGGTGGTGGAACCACTGAGCTAAATCCCCAGCCCTACAAGCTGAAGTCTTAATCCCCATGGTGGGTAGTAGGAGAGGGTCTTTGGGCGGTGATTACAGGGAAGCACAAAGCCCTCATGGAGATCGGGCCCTTGGAAAAGACCTTGGCAGAGGCGTGTTTGTCCCTGGGACCTCTCAGGGATACATGGCGAAGCTGGCAGTGGGCGGCTGGGAAGACAGCCCTGCCACAGCACAAAGCCACCTCCTACCCCCTGACCAGGAGCCCCAAGGCTCGGACTTCTGTTTGTCAGTCAGACTATCTGATGGACTGACACATACAGCAACCTCCAAGGGATTAAAAAGTCACACTGTTATTGCATTCGAATCATTCCACAAGCCCTCATCTGAGCCAGCTGTGGAAATACACCTGGCTACATCTGACTGTTCCTCAGAGAGGACGGGTGCCGTGCTTCACTGAGCAGGACCCAGCTGCGCCAGCTACGGACCGGGAAAAGGCCTGGGAGTGGGTGCTCACCCCTGCGCATTCTTTCATTTCGTTCATGAGAAACAGAAAGAGGCCTGAAGAAGCACACCTCTCCTCTTTTGTTCTTCCTCAGTTTACACCCACCAAGAAAGCACAAAGGTGGCAGAAATTGCTTCTCTCCCACGAGATCTGGTGTCACATCTCCCCGCGAGGGCACAGAGGGGTACACAGATGGCTGAGGGGGGTGGGGCCAGCAGGTCAGTGCCAGGACACAACTCTACCTCAGCAGCCACTCTGGCATCTGGGTCCCGTACTCCACACTCTCATCATAGATTTGAAAATGCCGGTAGAAGTCTTCGAGTTTCCTCTTGTGTGAGAGAAATAGGCCTTTCTTAAAAAGTACGTTGACTGTGGCCGGATAGAGGAGACGCCTATGGAGACAGAAACACACCCAAGTTCAGGCCCCTGGGCCAAAGGAGAAGCCGTATGACACAAGGGAGGGCCTAGGTCAGAGTGACCAACTATGGGCAGGTAACATGTGCCCGACTCTTCTAGAGAAAAGCCAGTCTCAAGGGTTCTTAGTATTTATGAACTGTGGTCAAAACAATTCAGAGAGAACTGAAATTGTGTTCTATTTATCTAAAGATTTAAAAATTCTTTCATAGCAAACATATTATATGCTGAGGAATATGAGGATAAGCAGAAATACACTGATTCAAAAAGCTCAACAAGCATTCATTTAGAAAATACTAACAACTCAGGTAATGGCCCCAAGACTGCAGAGAGCAGCAATCACCAAAGAGAAGCAGCATGAGTCATCAAACTTCCTGATTTCCAAACTCAAACTAGTGTGCACAGAAATATAGTACTTAGCAATAATTTTTACTGTACATGAATAAAGTTGTCACTGTAGCACACTTAAGTATCCAAGATATTCAAGAATAGTCAATATTCAAAAATAAATACTTTGATCTCAAAGGTAGCACCGAAAACATTTACATTCCTTCGGGTTCTCCTTCTCAAACTTTCAAACACATCCAAGGATTAGCTTTCTTCTCTCACAGATACTGGGCACGCTTTGGCAGATTTTTAGTTGGCTTCGTTATTTCTGCTTTACCCCAACCACCACCTCTAACACCACATTAAAGGACACTCTGCTTTCAATCTTAACTGCGGAACTGTGCCTTCTGAGGTAGGGGCTCAGGGGAGGACAGGGGCCGTAGAAAGATGCTTCATGAGACAGTTCTCCAGATCTCTTTACACCATGCAGAGTTTTTCTCAGGTTCCCATGTCCATCTTTAACTTCTCCAGAAAGCTTCAGGACATGACTGCTCCCTCCACAGCTCTCCTGTCTCTTGGGACCTCACTGCCATGGCAGCCCGCGGACTTAGCCCTGAGGCCCACAGGAACTCAGCCTTCACTGCCCTTTTTGAAGACCGGCCATCATGCAATGATTCCATTCTCTCCCTTGTCCCCACCCTTTCTCTCCATCCTACTGATCGCGAGCTGCCCTGAATGGTGATTTAGGTGAGGTAACTCCATGTGGAACAGTCTCTGGAAGGACTAAGGGGAATTACACAGATGTACTGTTTCAAAGTGACTGTACTGGCTTGTGTACCATGAAACAGGAGTGGAACTGCCTGTTAATTACAATTTAAAAGATTTAGAGGAATCACTTAGTAACCTAGTTATGTAGACTTCATTAATCTGACAGGTAATTTGTGAAGCCCAGGGTGCTAGTTTCCATCTTTATTTGAAGATTAAAGTTTAAATGATAGTAAAGCATTGAATTACCTCACTAAACTGATCAGGTCCATTGTCCCATGAGGGCCTAAATCTTCCAGTTGTTCATGGAATTCTTCATTCAGCCGTCCCACGAGCTGATACAAGTTGGAAGTCCCCAATTTCCCCTTCATCATTACATACAGCTTTTCATGCAGTGTTAGAAAGATATTCTTTGGAATTGATGCTATTAAACAGAGAAAACTATTTTCAAAGTCAGTCCCAGCTCCTAGAAGAACCTCTACCCTTACTGCATCAGGAAGGGCCTTTCCCAGCATCCTCGCAACACATGAAATTACCTCCTGCAAATAAAGTGGACAAAGATTCAACATAGATTGTGAGATAGTGAAGTCTAGAAGGTGATTTGCTTTATGGGATGATGTACAAATGGATAATTTAGATGGCCGGTATTGCCAGCCCCTTCCTCCTCCATATCAAGAACACACAGTATTTCACATTTCCCAGCATTCTAAGAAGCTATCCTGGCCTGCCTCGCAAGCACAAGGTCCTGAGCTCCATCCCCAGTACAAAAAAAATAAAGCTATTCTGAAGGCTCCAAACATTCTCTCCTTTACCACCTCAGGCCCTGCCCCTTAACCCCGTAGCCATCAGCCCAAACGCCTCCCACTAATTTCTATTATTTCTCCGAGCTCTTCTTGCATACTAGTTTCACCAAGAAGCCTTTTCTAACCATGGGTAATTCTGACCCCACTATTTCCTTTATTTTAGAATCTGTGTTCCTTCCACCATACACATTTCTGGTTAGACTGGGGTGGTGAGAGTATAAGGTTAGTTTTTAACTAATTTCTTTTATTGTGTTTTATTGTCTTTAACGTAACTTTTCAAAAAAAATAAATTTTAATTTTTTATTTCCTCATTCTGCTCTGTGTGGATTCTGTGTATTAATTTTATAAAAGTCAATGAGGAATAAATGTTCCAATCTCCTCTACGGTTGGCAGGACATTAAGGGAGGGATAAGAAGCTGGCTCAAAAGTCACCGTTCACACATTTCACCTATTAGGCAGAAATATTTAAGCACAGAAGGCCCCAGGGAGGACACAGGTGAAAAGCTTGGCAGTTTTTGTACACCTGCAGTAGGAAAGGGATGTGTTGCCATACAGATCAAAAGCCCTCAAAGTATGTGTGCTCATTGGTCAGGATTTCTCCGGCCCATATGTCAACAGCATTAAATAGAGAATTTAACCAACGTGTTGAGATCTGCATGCAAGCAAGAAGAAAAAGTAATCATGGTATTAATCACTGATAAATTTGAAAAGACACTTTTTTATGTCAACGGCAAGAAACGCATGAGACAACATGCAAAAGGACCTAGGAGCCTAAGAAGAATAAAAATGAGGTGGGAGAGAAAGAAGCTGCAGAGTGTAGAAATCAAGTATGAAGGCGGAGGAGGGGCCAGCTTTGCATATGGGGAGGCAGAAGTTGGACGGCCACCTGGCAGCATGCTCAAAGTGCCACTGGCAGTCCCTAAGTGAGAGGGGGGACTCAAGAATGGGGAAGTCAAAGCAGGCTCCCCCTCACCGGCCCCGTACAGAAATGTCAGAAAAATCCACACAGGACTGGGATCGCAGCTCAGTGGCAGAGCACCTGCCTAGAAAAAGCCACATGAAGGGGCTTTCCAAGCAGGGGAATTCTACCTGCAGCAAGCAGAATCGAGCCAAGAGGTACAGCCTGCAGACAGTGGTACACACAGCAGCAAGACAGGGACTACAGCATCTTGGGTGTTATCACAAGGTACAGATACGGATTCCAAATATTCTCTCAAAAAGTATCTACTGGTGAGGTCATCCCATCTTGTCCACATCTCCTTGAAATGTAAATATATCCAGCTGCCAATAATTGGCTTTTCAATCCTCACACACTCCAGAATAAAAAAGTGCATGCCTATAATCCCAGGACTGGGGAGGCTGAGGCCGGAGGGTCCTGACTTTAAGTCTAGCCTCGGCAACTTAGCAAGATGCTATCTCAAAATAAAATGAAAAACATGAAAGGCTGGAGATGTTGCTCAGTGCAAAAGCCCTGGTCTCAATCCCTGGTAATAGAAAAAATTTTAAAAGAATAAAATAACAGGCTCTCATCATTTCATTCTCAATGGATTGAGGATATAATTTTTAGCTAAAACTACCCTTGGATCCCAATGTTTTACTTCAAATGCACTATCTGAAAATATATTTTTTACCTATACGGTAGACAGGATATTGTATTGCTAGTTCAAAGTTTACTTCTTTGGACTTTAGAAACACATTGATTCCCTCTTCTTCGGTAACAAAGGTCATTCGGTTTCCCATGGCAAAGACTGTAAATATTGGTCCATACTGCAATAAAACACATAAATAAACATAGAGAATGGTAGTGAGCATTTCTAAGCAATGCGTCAGGTTTAAGATAGTTTTCTTAAAGAACTCCAAAACTGAAGCCATGGTCAAGAGAAAAATGATTATATCTAGTAAATAATTATAAATGTTGAGCGTTTTAGACATATTAAAATGATATAAATCTTAACTTGTGCTGTTCCAATAATGTTTATAAGATACAATTATTTACTTATATTTTCCTTTCTCATGGTGTGAAATAATTATTAGAAAATAATAATTATAAATAACAATTTAAAATCTATCAATACTGTGATCTTGGAACATTATTTTCAATACATCCATAGGCTAGGCTTATACACAGCCTATAGCTCAATGTTGCTCAAGAAAAAGAAGCAAAATTGCCAGCTGTTTCCCAGGATATAATTTTCATGAACTTCTGATTATATTTAGCATTTTCTCCAATTATGAAGGTGGGTAATAAACCACATATCAGAAGAAACTATCATCCATTCATCCATTCATGACAGTCAATAGAAAGATCTTGAAACATCACTTACACCCTTATCACTATATTGATCTTAGTCACTTTCACCTCTCCCATAAAAACGCAAATGATTACTCCTGCCATACAGTCTTGGGGGCCACCAGGCAACTGAGGGACCTGGGAAAGCCCCCATTTTCTCACACTAATGAACCAGGCACCTACACTGCTCCCCAATATGATTTTATCTACAATTGTTCCTAATCAAGATTCAGAAGATGCGCCACTTTCATTGCTCAAGTTTTGTCTGAGAGAGAATTAACTTCCCATTAGGGAAGTGGGCTTCGGTTAACATGGACTGGAAGAGGACACAAGTGTAGATCAACCAAGTTCCAACCCACTGAACAGCTGAGATGGCTGCTGACATGTGGCTTTACAGTCACTTACTGCAATACAACTACATAATGCAAAATGGTCACGTGCCAAGTTATAAACTCTGCAGCAGGTCATAGGTGTTGTGTTTTTCTTGGTTCTCTTTTCCTTGTGCAATCTCAGTGTTACGAAGCAAAAGTAAGCTAACACTGTTTTGTTTTGTTTTTTCAAATATGGTGTCACTATGTGGTTCAGGCTGGCTTTAAACTTACTATGTAGCCCAGGCTGGCCTTGAACTTCCAGCAATCCTCCTGTCTCAGCTTCCCAAAGTGCTGAAATTACAGGTATGTGCCACCACACTGTATGTTTTAAAAGAGGTGTTTGTTTTTTGTTTGGCTTTGGAACAGGGTCTCACTGAGTCACTAAGTTGTTTGGGCTGGGTTCAAATTTGGGCTCTTCCTGCCTCAGGCCTGTGTGCCACCATCCCTAGATTCATGTATTTTTCAATTAAACTTTTTGAGACAGTTATAGATTAACTATAGCAATTGTAAGGAATATTAGAGAGATGCCATGCACTCACAACTGCTGCCCGGTGTTACCATCTTGTCTTTTCTTTCCCTCAGTTGACTGCACTAGCTGAAACTGCCAGCACTATGCTGGAAAGAGCAGTGATAACAGACATCTTTGCTTTCTTCCCAATCACAGAGGAAAAATTTAGTCTCCTATTAGCTGTCAAATTTTTGTAGATGTTGGTGATCAAGATAAGAAAGTTCCCCTCTGTCCTAGTTTTCTGAAATTTTGGTTACTTTTTTTTTTGGTACCAGGGATCAAACTCCGGACCTTGTGCTTGCAAGGTAGGTGGTGGAACCACTGAGCTAAATCCCCAGCCCTTGGTTACTTTGTCTCAAATCATAAATAAGTACTGAGTTTTGTTAAAGGCTTTTCTGCACCAACTGCAGCCTGTAGAAATGATGGCTTACTCTGATTTTCAAATCCTGAAATGGTCTTGCATCCTTGCAATGGACTCCTCTTGGCAATTCCTTGCAAATACTGCTCAATTGCTGGTATTTTGTCATATATTTTTGCATCTACTTATCAGGGATGGCTGCCTACAGTTTTCTTCATACTATCTGTGGACTGATACCAGGGTAATACTGTCTTCCTAACATACACTGAAAATAATTCCTTCTCTTCTACTTCCTGGAAGAGATTGTATACAACTGACTTTATTTCCTTCTGTAAATATTGGATATAATTCCAAAGTAACACAATGTGGGTCTAGAAAATTTGGGGGGGGTATAGTCTACTAAAATTATCCATTTCATATAGAATACTTGTGGTAGTTATGTTTCTCCACAAACTGGTCCACTTTCTCTAAGCTCTCAAATTTACATATGTAGTGTTATTCGTGGTTATTCCCTTGTGTTTCTGCAAATCTGCAATGACATCCTCAATTTCATTTCTCATCCTGTGGCTTCCCTCTCTTTTTCGCTATCGGTCTTGCAAGACGTCTAGCAAGGCTGCGGATCTTTTCAAATAATATTCTTTCTTTCCCTACTTTTCTCTATTACTTTTTGTTTTCTGTGTCATTGATTTCTGTTTTTAAAATTTCTTTCCTGTCATTTCTTCAGGTTTACTTTGCTCTTCAAGGGTAATACTGGAGATAGAAGTTTCGATTATTGACCTCAGACTTTTCCACTTTTCTGATGCAAGTACTCAGTTGTAAAATTTCAGATATGTTGCATTTTGATTCTTATTTTTATTTTGGGGGTACTGGAGATAGAACCTTGGGGTACTCTACTGCTGAGCTGGACCCCCAGACCTTTTTTTTTGAGACAGGAGATCACGAAGTTGCCCAAGTTGGCCTTCAACTTGTAATCCTCTGGCCTCAGCCCTTGAGTAGCTGGGATTACAGTTTGTGTGTCAACAGGCTTGGCTCAGTTCAATGTATTTTTTTTTTTTTTTTAATTTCTAAGACACCAAGTTAAGATATAAAGACTCAAAAAAGTTGAAAGTGATAGGGAACAACACAATCTACAAATATTAACCCAAAGAAAGTTGTAAAACAGTTTAAATCAAGATAAGATTAATTACTACCAATGAGGCCACTGGAATCTCTGATTGGCAAGCAAGTGTCCTTGGCAACTGCTGCTGCAGTGAGTGGGTGGGAAGAGCCTTTTTAGCTATTTGCTATAGAGAACTCTGCCTTACAGTTTATTTCCACACTTCGGTGGAGGGCAAATACCATTTCCCCCGCAATAAAATGTTGAAAAAAATCATGATGCTTAATTTTGCCAAGATTTCCCCAAGTATTTACATAAATTGTTCATTAACTATAATTTTGCAAAATACCAAACCTTGGTCTATGCATTTTGGGACACTGTGCTTCCAAACAATGTTTCCAATGTGTCAACAAATAGATCTTCTTAGCTGCAGATGTGCAGCCCGGGTAGGTATCCTCTGAACATAATGTCCCGGGGAAAAGTCCTAGAGATTTCATCAAATTCATGCTTTGAAATTATAACCCACATTGCCCTGGACATACTGGTGCCTGCCTATAACACTCTGGTGGGGGTGGAGACAGAAGGATTTCAAGTTAGATTCCAGCTCTGGGAAACTTCACGACTCAGTGACACCTTCTTCAAAGAGAAAGAGAAAGAGAGACAAGGCAGGAGGGTATGGGGTGGACTGGGGCTTTAGCTCAATGCAAAGGCCCTTGGTTTAATCCTCAGTAATGGGAGAAAAACCCTATAAATCCTAAGATTGACATAACCAAACACAGTCTGAAATTTAAACAAAATCCTCTGCATTCACAGTATTGGGTTTTCAGTTGTAACAGAACTTACTATCTAAGGACTGGGCCCCAGCCATCTCAAAGGTCAACTAGAGTAGGATTCATGCCAAGCTGACATGGCAGGTGACAGGCTTCGGTTTTCCACAGTCCACTAAAGGTTTTAGTTCTTTGCTGGTTGTAGACCAGCCTCTCTGTTTCTGGCCCTGGGAGCCTTCTCATCCTGGCAATTTGTCATCACAGCCTGCAAGCGGGGCAGGTGACAGAATCTGCTATCCAAATGGCAGCCTGAGCCCAGAAGCAGCGTCCCAGCACCTCTGCTACTGGGTTCATTAGAAGTGAGTTCTCAGGATCTGCTGCCATCCAGGAGGTGACTGCAAAGGGAATGGGCAGCAGCAGGTGGGAACTGCTGTGGGTTATCTTAGAAGTCTGACAACCACACAGTTATTAACCTGGAAACCTATCAAGTAAAGATAGCACTATCTAAGCATCTTCAAAAGAAAAAAGAATGAAGAGGTCCAACAGTACCAATGTGTGAAGGTTTCAGCATTTTGGACACAAGAACAGTGTGAATGGTATGATACACTTTGCTTATAAAAGATAGTAAGAATCTACAAATGAATCTGCTTGAATATGGTTCAAGAAAAGATGAAAGGCTATATAAGAAATGAATCACTGTGCTACCAAGATTAGGGATGAGCAATAAGAACTGAGTGGAAGGGAGAAAGGTCAGAGAGATTTTTCACTTAACTTGTTATAGTTAACATTTTTTTTAACTATACCAATTCATATCCACTCAAAGATTAAATAAAAACAATGGGAAGACTTTTGTGGTCATCCAAGTCTTCTCTCCCTTCTCCAGGGCCAGAAGATGCTGGGGGTGACAGCTTTATGAGAGAATTTTAGAAGTCATTTCTTGAAGGTTCAAAGTGCTGCCAGGGATTTAGCTCAGTGGTGCCACTGCCTACCTCAAAAGCATGAGGAGTTTGATCCCTAGTACCCTTGCCCTAAAAAATCATGACAAAGTGCCATAAGGTGTGTCTCAGCTACTGGTCATTTAGATGCAGTTTCCCATCAAGGCTACTGCTACTGTGAAAAAGCAGAATGAGCCCCACTCACCCACCCTGAGCCTGGTTTACTTGTGGGGACTGAGGATGTCATACACACTACAAGGGTACAAACACATTTATCATTTACACAGCAGGACTCTGCTGGGAATAGTAACAGGGAAAACTTTAATAGGGAAAACTTAGGAAATGTCACAATATACCATACTTTCTGCCCCTCACTCTGCTTAATTCAGACTTAACTGGTACCAGAGACAACTAGACTCTCACAAAAGTTTTGTAAGTGAAAAGAACCACTGCTAGCTTTGTTAATCAAACAAGCTCCCTTCCCCCTGGCTAGAGTAGGTAATTGAATAAATCTTAAAGGTCAACTTTCCGGATAAAGGACTGCATCGGGATTGAAATTCAACTGCCTCACCACCAAGTTTTGGGTATCAGCAATGTGAGCTGTGAAAATGCAGTGTAACCAACTGAGTAAGATCAAAGCTGTAAAACCCTATGAAAGAAGGGGTTGTAACCCAATGGGGTGGGCGGGTTGATCAAGGCACCGCCATTAGATGTCATCGATCCCCATCCATAAACTTTTTTCTTTCACTTCCATTCTGCTGCCTCTCTGTGTCACTTGCCAATTCCTTCTGTAACACTAGGAAGGCTACCTTCCAATCCTGATCTGAAAGACAGCCTGAGGAAGCAAATGGGCTGAGGGCTTCATTATGGCTAGGGAGTTTTAGCCATGGGTCCATTTCTGCTTGAGAGCTGAGGTTTCTGTGGTTTAAATCTTCCCTGGTGCCCATGGTGAAAAGAAAGAGCACACATCTTTTGTTATCATACTGCCCAGGTGGGAGAATACAAGAGAAAGAAGAAAGAATGAGGCCGAAAAACTTTCAGCAGCCAACACCACATAATGCTGTCATGTTCTGTGATTTAATACCATAAAGATCTTTTGTACTGTTCCACATGACAATTGACTCATATAACTTGTTTCCTTTGACCAGGAAAGCTATAAAGCCCTCACAAATATTTTATATGATAGGGCTTGTAAACAACATTCCTCAAGGACTGGGGATTTAGCTCAGTGGTTTGCTGCCTGCTTCACAAGGCAAGGCCCCAAGTTCAATCCCGGGTACCAAAAACAAAAACAAAAACAAAAGTTCCTCAAGAGTTATGAGTCAGGTGCCTATGGGGGTGGGGGAGACAAAGAAATATTTCTTTTTCATTTATTAGACTAGTAAAAGTTACAAAAAGGTATGGTACCCAGCGCAGCCCAGAAGATAAGTCAGGCAGTTCCTCACACTCAAGGGAGGGTAGAAAGGGTAATTACATATCTTTTACAAGGGTAACACAATACTATAAACAACTTAACTGTGCAATTCTACCTTTAAGTATTTGGAGGAAACAACTGGCTAAGTACAAAATGTATAATCACATACACATTAAAGCATTGGTTGAAATTTTTAAAAAGTTGATGACAACCTATATATCCAACTAACAACTTTAAATCAACTTTGCAAGTAATTTTCACATATCCTGGTGTTAACTCCATTTGAGGGAACAAATTTATTATTCATTTTTCACAAATTCCAAAAGTACTACCCTTCTGTATTTCCGAATCATTGTAAGCACTTATCAACATCTGTGCACTTAGAATTTAACTATGCTGAAGTAACCAGCGCTTAAAAGTTAATCTGTACTTCCAATAAGGCAGACCGAAACCGAAGTTTATTTCTTCTTTAAAAAAAAATTTTTTTAGTACCTGTTTTTGGTGCATAATGACTACACTCCTGGTGGGGAGGTGGTATGTGTACATAATTTTTCACCCCACCCCCACCCCTTCCCCCCAACTGGACTTCAAATCTTTCCCCAAACCTGGCGTCAAAAAGGTTCTCCAGCGGAGGAATGAATAAACTAGACTAGAAGTGTGTTCCCAGCGTCCTGGCCTTTCTTTCACGGACAAACAATGAAAGGAAACCAGAAAAGGAAACACTCCTCCGAGGGCCCCTGCTCGCACCTACCTGGGCCCGGGCCTGCTCGATGAACTCCAGAGGGGCCTTCCCGAGCCGCAGCCCCGAGCCC